CTCGAGTTAGTTTTACTGACACCAGTAACACCTATATACTTATTTTTCTCGCATTCCCATACTAGAACTGTTTGAATGCATTCAGTAGTGACAGTGTACGGTACTAAATAGATGATCATGAAGAGCATCATAATGTTGGACATGCAATTTGCGCCAGCTTCTAGGAATGTTTACTTCCTGATCAGCACGACTGCAGGATGGCGTGCAAGACTGTACATACAATTCCGTTTTACCGCTTACGGACCCTTTTTCCCTACGTTCATGGTTACATTTAACATTGAAGGCTTGCACTTTCAGAAAGACATGCATAAAAGTAAGGTTGGTCGGAAAAATGTATCTGCAATTTCTAGATAATCGACAAATCCTTGTGCAGTCAGGGTGAATCCAAGCGAACTCGCCCAATCTCGTTTTCCCCCATGCTCTCATATCTTCCCTATCCAAATTTTTCATACCTTCCCCTCCATCGGCTCCTTCTCCCTCTTACTCTCTCCGCATCCCTCGCCCCTTACACCTTCCCCTTCTCTTCATCCCCCATCTTGCTGACATATTTTTACAGCTTTCAGGGGGCACTTATAGACTAAGTTGTTTCCATACTTCCTCTATACCGTAGCCTTCACACTTTCGTTAACCTCAGAATTGAAAACCTTCCAATTGAGTACCAATATCTTTCGGGACCATTTCATCACTTCATTATGCAGATGAATTATAAGGTAAAATGAATTAGTTAAAATGACCTGCGATAACATTCATAATTACTAGGATATTCAGTAAAAGTCAACCACTACAGCACATATTGCAGATAAATACATAAGTACTCGATGCACCAATTACTACTATTTCACCCACCTGTATGCCACCACCAATAAATCGTTGCATCATTTCTTCTCTTGCTGTGCCTTTCGGTCGCCAAATATTACAAATCAACTAAAAGATTAGCTTGAATGAATACATAATATAGGAATATATGTATTTCTGGTTCATAACGTTCTCTAGGCTTCATACAGTTTCTATTGCAATATATAAAAGATTGAAAAGTGAGAAACTTTTGTTTGCTAGTCCTTAACATTCTTCAACTAATATTTGTCTAGAAAATCTTGCATGAATTTTTTTTTCGTTCCCATAGATTTATCTTGTTGAAATGTACAGCAAAACGGTTTAGATCATGATTGAAGTTAGCTGCAGATTAATTTTGTTTACAAGATCAGCAACAGTCTGGCAAATTTTTTCTGTGAATTACCACAATGGACAGAAGATACGAATCCATGGTTTAATCAGTCTTAATCACCAGGAACTTTCATTGCCTAGCCCATTTTTAGTTGGAAACATTTTTCATGCTATAGGAATTCTCAGATTTGTACATTCAACATTAGAATTTTGAATGTTGTTGCCAAAGTACCTCCAGTGGAACACCTACGGTAGATGCCTTAATGCTACAAGGTTGCTC